AACTAGTATCCAATCCAAGTATCCAATACAATCAGTCCTATTGGAGGTTAATCGCGGGCCCGAATAGCTCAGTGGTAACGTCTCTGAGTGCAACACACAAAGTGACATGGGTTCGAGAATTTCAGGAAGTACATGAGTCCCTTCAAGGTGATTGCAGATTCGTCCTGCTGACTAGAGAGTGCCAATAAGCACGAAACCCAAGTCAAGCAAGGCTTCCTGTGACCGATCGCATCAAACCACCAAACATCAACAGAACATTAATCAACTGGAAGACGACTTTATCTATATTACTGACTCCAGAATACTTTACATCATATTATAAGTCAATTTAAAATAGTTCTCTTGCACTGGATACATAATGAGATAAAGTGTTATTTGTTTACTTATGATACCTAGAGGACCTGAAAGTTACACAGGGACCTGGTTATAACTATGAACTATAAAGTGCACTCAAAACGTCATAACTGAACAAATCATACTGTCAAGATTGATCACAAATAAACTTCATTTAGAGAATAACCAGCAGTGAATGATGGATGTTTCGTCCTAGTTTGGGGCTCTTCGTCACGACCCTATCGGGGTTCGAATATATAAACCACCTTCAGGTTTTGAAGCCAGTAGGGCGGAATCTAGTCGCCCATGAATTCTAAATTCCACCAATCCACAACGTATAGCACGGTCGTCAGCCAAAGTCCTGGACAGGTTGATTTGTTCTCATACACATACACACACCTGGTGGTGTATTATGGGTGCATACCGATGAAGTGTTCGAAACAACAGGGACGAGACAGCAGTCGAGTAATCCCTGTTGGCCTACAGTGTTTTTCTTCCTGAAATCAGTTCACCATCAATCTGGAAGTCAATAAAATCACTGTCAAAAGGCTCAAATTCTGTTCCTACATCAAGGACTTCTACATAGGGAGATAGACAGATAATTATAGTAATAATAATGTGTTAAATGTTTTGAGCGTCAGTAATAATGATGATTATAATGATAACAAAACATTGATTATAAGGTTTATGCAGGTGGCAATAAGAAGAATAACAAAGATAGTGATATGTGTATATGTAGACAGTTCAATAAATAAATAAATTAGGTCAAATCCTAAAAGCTACGTAACACTAAGGATGAAAGGAAGAGATAATCAGAGTGTAAATGAATACCATAAAATTACGCAGGAAGGAAATGAAAAATAAGAAAGGGTGGGAGAGTTTTGATCAGACTTTACCTAGGTCACTGAAGGGAGAGACAAAGTTAGAACAAACTTGTTTTGTAGTATGCAAAGACTAGGTTTGTTCTCTCTAATCAATTCCCATAGCTTCAGCTATGTGTAAAAGGTGGGTTCGAATTCTGTTCCAAAGACTTGATGGAATGGGATAGATAACTGTGAAGCCACTACTTCTGTCCATCTGGTGACCACTATCAATCAAATGAGCCAAAACAGAACTTCTTATAGATTTTTTTGACCTTTTCCGAACCGTGAAGAAAGACGCTCATTAATGCGTTTGTTAAGCTGTCGAGTTGTTCGCCCTATATAGATAGCTTTCTACACAGGAGCAACTAAATTTGTAGATACACAGAGAATTAGCACAGGTAGGTAACTTCTCTTTTTAGCTTGAGGAATCATAAACAAGATCTGTTTTCTGAACGTTTCGCTGTGTAAGCTGCCACAGCTTCTTCATCAGAATTATTCGGATTTTTATTAATCATCAAAATATATAGTCAAAAATAACATAAATTGAAGTCATTTTATTTGAAAGTCACTTGTCGATGGACATTTGTACCAATAGAATTATGCAAACAGTCGTCAAATATATTTGTAATGACTAATGTCAAATTAATGAAGAGTGAGAAAGATTTGAGAAAATAGAAGGTCGATTTACCGAAAGCCAACATTCACAGGGCAGTACACTAACTTCAACAGTTGGGTACCTTTGGGGAGAAAGAAATTTTATTCATTCCTTGTGCTCCAGAATTCGTAAAATCTGCTCTACAGAGACAATCGGTAGTGAACTAGATAACCTTCGATCAAATCTCCTTAACAATGGTTATCCTACAAGGTTTATTGAACGTAACATCAAGAAAGAATCCGTCCCTAGACAAATCACAGTGCCAAAGAAGAAACTGTTTATGAGTCTAGCATTCAAAGGTGACACCATTTCAGAATTGATTAAAAATCGTTTATCTAAATGTATTGAACGCATTTTTCCTGCAGCTGACTTGCAACTAGTTTTTACCAGCCTAAATATGATTAGACAATGTGTCAAGGATAGATTACCGCTTATGTCCACATTCAAGTGTATTTACTCTTTTACCTACTCCTATGGAGCTGATTATATTGGACGTTGTAAGCGCACTCTCCGAAAACGTGTAGCTGAACACTATCCGGTTTGGTTAATGAAAGACGAACGTAGAACTGCAAAGTCGTCTATTTGTGATCACCTGTTAGATTCGGGTCATTCAGGCCCACGTGGTTCATCCTTCAAGGTTATCTACATGGCAAAATCGGATCGCTCCAAAAGTTTACGTTTTCTTCACTTATGCATAGCCGAAGCTTTAGCTATACATGAACAGAAATCTAAATTATGTGTTCAAAAGCGTTTTGTCAAACCCCTTTTTTCACCTTGGTTATAGTAATGTTCTTTCTAGTTTTTATTTTATTTTACCACTTGAATTCATTCCACTTTACTTCACATCTTTATTCTTATCGTAATTCTACTCCTAATTTTTAACATTTTTAGACAACACTTGACATTTTTAAAAATTTTTGATATCAATTCACTTCTAAAACAATCTTTATTAATTTGGTAATTTATCCACTTCAACTCTACTCCTTATAGCATTTTAATTAACGTTATTCATATAAAATATATGTGTATACTGACTGAGTAATTATTTAGTGCCAATTACTAACCTTTTTCTGTAATATAAATACGACTATACAGCTTGAAAATGAAGTCGTTGAAAAGAAATTTCTTCGCTGAACAAAAAACTGTGTTTTTACCTGTAAAAATAGAATGTATTTGCGCAACACTTATTTCTAACAATATGATCATATACATTGTATTTTCTCACGCCTTTCTCACTCTTTATTAATTTCATATAAATTCATATGACAAGTCCTTGTGTGATCATATTATTCAAAATAAGTGTTGCGCAAATACATTCTATTTTCTCATTTCTTAACTTTTTATGAATTTCATATATTTGGATAGCCTTATTAGAAGACGGAGATTATCTGAAAAACAATATGGAATGTATTTGCGCTATACATTTCGAACAATCTGATCCCTCACACATTTACTTGTCAAGTCGATACACAAATGAAAAAAAGTAAATTAAACAAAGTGACAAAAGAAAAAGGATTTAAGAATGTTTAACACAACGTCTGGTAATCCAATCAGATACGAATTACCAAGGTAGGTTGAGAGTAATAATAAACTGTTTTTGAATACACAGGGTGGGGGTGGGAGCTTAAGTTTATGAATAGCTATACCCTCAGCGTATTTCAGTAAGCGCACTTGACCGTTTTTATAGATGACCTTTTGGAGGCTGACGTTATTGACGTCCGTGGATTGTACAGAGTATACTAACGCAAGATTTAATACCCTGTGCGTCGGTGGCACAGTGGTTAGAACTCTCGCCGACCATGCACATGGTCCGAGGTTCGATCCCCTGCCGACGCACATCTGATATCTATGGTCGGCCTGCGAAATTTGGGCTACCGATATCCATGCTGAAAATTCCATACTTGTACCAAAAATAAGGTGTGGAATCAAGCTGCAATAAAAAAACATGTAGTATTCCTTCCGCGTAGACCAAAGGCAAAACAAAACACATTTGATAGTCCAAATAACGAGATATATTTTGGGAACAAATCGGAGTGCTAGATGATTGCTTAGCTGGCCAGTGATCGTGCACGAACGTGACACGACGGAGTACCGAATGGCGGGGATGCTTGACCGGAAGCCTTCAGATAAACAAGTCAAGTTAAACAGTGAGGGTCAGCACTCAGTGTTCAGTGATGATTGCTGTGGTCAATAATTTTGGGGAATTATTTACCGCTACAACCTTAAAGGCTGACTTAACACCAGTCTTATGGCTCATCACGATTAGATGTTTAGCTATAGACGAAGTTGGTAGTCTAACACCTGCATCTATTGATTTTCCACAATTCATTTGTTTTTCTAACCATTCCGGGATATGATCTCTCATCCTCACAGGCAGACCATGATTACTCCTCCCTATGTATGTGTGTCCACGCATACACGAAAATTGGTAAGTAGTGTGCGATGTGACATAATCACTTGTGCACTTTTGAGGTTTGCAGTGGAGCATATTTTTAGCTTTTTCGACAATTACAAACTGGGCTGCATAATAGGTTGGAAAATCTTCCGCTTCACTCACTCAGCCAACATAAACACCAAGAATCCAATTTTCAACACAAATGTCAAGTCAGTCAGTCAGTCAGTCACTGCTTCTATACCAGTCAGAAACTTGCACTACTGAGCGTTAGTCACGAAAAAAGATTTCCAACAAACTACAGAACTTTATCGACATCTGTCCATTTCGCTGGCTGCCTCCATACTGTAGATCAAATGACCAGCTGACTGGCGAGAAAGAATTAGTAACAAGAAATTCTGGCTGGGAACAAACGAACAAGCAAGAGCCGATCGTTCCAAAAATATTTAGCAGAAAATGAAGATGGATTGATCGGGCATACATTGAGAAGGCCATCGAATGACATCGCACACAATGCAGGCCATTGATCGAGTGGAATTCCAATGCGAAACTATGAGTGGGTCATCCCATCGAGGAGATCGTGCGATTTCGAGGTGATGAGAGATTATGCGCAATCGTGGACCCAGTGCCAGATGAAGACGACAGTACCGAATAGGAGAAAGTCGAGATATATTGTTGTTTTATACCTACGTTCCACTCGAGACCTAAAGGATTATTAATCAAATAACAATCACAAAAATGGAAAATCTGCTCAGTTCTTTGTCACAAAACCCCTGTATCTACATAAACCAACCACAAATTTAACATCACCACTAATCGAGGTATTTCAAAAATTTCGATAGAATTCAAAGCACATAGCAAAATATAATGGGACTGTAATGAAAATAGACACACACACACACACAAGTACAACTGAAATGAACATGAATGGAATGAAAAGAAAAAACAGTAAAAACATAAAAATCAATCATTATTAAAAGGCTAATTAAAACAACAAAAAATGTGTTCAACATGTTTTAACACATGTTCATATTTCAATTCAGTTTCGATTGATTGATGAGAGAAGTTCAATGAATCAAAGTTGTGGTATGTTAGTAGTATATAAATAAATAAATAAATAAAAATGAACTGTATTGTCACTAAACATCAATGAAATATTATGAAAGAATATTTAAAGACAGAACTTTCCATCTACAGAACATTGTTTTGACTTTGAACAGAAGGTATCCACACTGGATCCACAACATTTAGCCTAAAATCAGATCAAATTGAAGCATATGCACAATAAGACGTTAAAGAAAATAAAACAATTTTGCATCAATATACAGTAATCCGTAATAACAAAGTGCAACAGACACTTTTGACATTGTCGTCAGTTTATATACACGTATACCAATAAATATATGTAGCTATAGAGAGGCAGTCAGAAACGAACTCATTTTTGACCAAGAACTAGAAGTTAGGACGAAAGTACCACTTGAGGATATAATGCTAGAAGTGTAGGTAGCTATGTCTAACTTCCACAGTATTTAAATTCCTCCAAGGGAAAATATACAAACAAACTGAGGGAGTTGTCATGAGGTCACCGATATCCCAGGTGTGGCAGATACATATTCATGGATAGGTTGGAAGAAAACTTATCGATTGAAACGTTCAGCACCACATGCCAAAAGTATGGTGGAGGTGGTATGTAGACGACACATTCACTGTACTTAGTACACAGGATGTAGATAGATTTTTCGAACACATTAGTTCAAAGGTGAAGGTAATTCAATTCACTTATGAATTGGAAAGTCAGGAAGACGAACTTCCAATGTTAGAGTGTAGCGTAAAAAAGAAAGAAGATGGAAAGTCAAACACTAGTGTTTGTTTATAGGAAACCGATACATTCAAACAGATATTTGGACTTCCGATCATCCTGTCGTATGTCAGTGCAAATAGGACTGGTGAAATGTTTAAATAATAGAGCACAAAAACTACCTAATACTAAGGAAAATCAAAGACAGGAAGTGAGGCATATAAAAAAAGCTTTGAAAGTTAAGTAAATGGTCTGAGTCTAACGGTCTTAAACTGAATCCTTCTAAATGTCAAACTGTTAAGATGTAAAAGACAGTTAAGAGAAGTCATCGATTCTCATGACAGTTGTAAGATTGACGACAATGATATAGGAATCAAATCAGAAATTAAGTATCTTGGATTTATTCTCTCTTCTGATCTCTCCTGGACTTCCCATGTCTTAGCGATCTCCAGTAAAATATTCCGCCTGACATTTTACATTAAGAAGTTAAGACACTCGGGTATAACTCAACCTCTCCTCTTACAGTTCATAAACTCTTGCATCCTACCTATTCTTCTTCATTGTTCACCCTCACTTATTCTTTCCTGGTTCGCTGCTTAAAAAGGACTGTGTCACAATTCGTAGAATGCTGAAGACTGTCAGTAGGGTGAGTGGTGCCCCAGTGGACCACATAGTTAACGTCGTTGCAGATAGGCACTTGACTTCGTGCAGTAAATTTGCCAAAGGGATTTTGTCTGACTTGGAGTATCTGCTTTATCCTGAGCTTTCACCTTGCATATCCTCAGGTAGAACAAGAAGTAACTTTAGAAAACTGTATGTTCGCATGTCTAAGTATATAAATTCTATGATACCATACTTGGCACTTATTTTATGTGATAGTGAAAATAGTGTCAGGCAATAATTAACTAACCTTTTTTCATTTAGTAAATAAACAATTTCCGCCATCCATCCTTTTATACCTTCAAGTTTGACTTTTATTGTTATATTATATTATTTTTATTATATTTATGGTCCTGTTGCTTCTTTGTTTGTTTTACTTTCATAATTGCAAACACCAACTTATCTCTACGACTGCTGTAATCTTTGGTTTTTCCCCTCATCATATCATGTAAAGAGAAGATTGTGTTCAATATTTTAAAACATTCTAAGATTTCTATTTCATATTGACAACACTGTGTGAAATAAGCCCACGGTAATTTTCACTTGTATTATTATTATTATTATTATTATTATTATTATTACCTTAGCTGTTATCATTATTATTACTATTTCCATTTTATATGCTGCATGTTTTTGACATTACCTCTATTGTAAATGTGGGAAATTTTCTGTGTGATTAATTTTTATTTATAATTTGAGGAAATTAGATGCAATATTGTGATTATTGCTGAAAATTCCATCCTGTATCACAAGTACTGTTTTTGGAATAAAGTGAATCATTATTATTATTATTATTAATTACCCTGATAAATTAGTCAGAAAGTAGGTAGGAAATGTAAAAGTAAAGTCAATAATGATAGTGATAACAATAATAATAGTAATATTAATGACGACATGTATGTCAAACATGCGCAAGACAATATCAACTATAAGGAATCTAAATCATAAGCAGTACTTCCTCCCATACAAAGAAGGAACCTTGGAAACCACCTTACGCAGAATTCTTAACAAGGCACGAATAAAAGCGGCTGGCATTCAAACCAACCACAAACTCTATCAGAAACAAGCTTTGTCGGTTAAAGCATAAATCCTGTGGAGTCAATAAAACAAAACAATTCAGTTTATCTAATACCCTGTCTGCAATGATTGTGAGGTCAAATACATAGGTCAAACTAGTAGAACAGGGGCAGTCAGACTAGCCGAACATAAAAACGTAGCAAAATCCAGATTAGTTGACCCAAATAAGATAAGAAATCTAGAGAATAGTTCAGCTATAGCACTCTCTACATGCAGTTACACACAACCATACAATAGGCTGGATGGCATAGGATGACAGTTTTAAAATCTAATGTAACAGGATAGATGGGGGGAGAGATTGATAACAGAAGCTTTATTTATCAAATCAACTGCAAACACGTGTAACAGGAATGATTCAATACCCATCCACCCAGATATGTGGAAAATTCCACTACTACTATGACGACAAATAGGAGAGAACAAAGAAAACTATAAACTCGAGTTTCGAAGTCGTGTGATTATAATTGATGAAATGATTATGAACAGCAATAAATTTTGTTCTAAACTTCGTCATCCAGTATGTCATATTGTTTCACTGTGTCGTATATCTAATAAACAAACTAATATGGAAAATCGACAAAAGTTCAATAGTCCTATCTGGTTGTCAAAGGTGGAGTACGGGAACAAAAGGTGAAGTCCACTTGTCGTTTATTGCATGAAAACCAGGGAGTACTAGACAGCCAGCTGTTTCATTCTAGTTTGGGAATCATTGGCAGTACACACTCACTGTCAGAATTGGTACCCAGGACCTTTCGGCTACAAGGAAAGCTGACTCGTATACCATTCAGCCACTGGGAACCGATTCAATGGCCAGTCTGTGAATTCTAACTTCTACTAATTCGTGACTTAGCGCGACCACCACCAACGAATGTCATCGGTGAGAAATCCATCCTCATACTTGACTGAATGGACCTCAATGGTCACAACTTCTCACTAGAACTTCAGTAAACTCCATCAGGTAGCAAGTCACTGGTGAGCATCAGATTAATTTTCAAAAGTTGGTTTGTAAGAATCCATGCGTACTGCCTATGATTCCCGATAAACTAGGATGAAACAGCCGCCCAGCACTCCATGTAGCTGGTTTTCAATGCTTCTCTAACTGATATCAATCCATGATCAAACTCGAAGAAAAACAAATCTAATCCTTATAAACCAACTCTTGAATATTGATTGCAAGAAAGTTGGACGACTGAATTAGTGAGTAAAGAAACCACCTCCCTGCCACCCCCATACATCTCATGTCATCTACAAAACAGAGCAGCATAGTATATAGAATTTGCCCAGTTTATACATGGAAATCCTCACATGGTCTAAAAATGTACTTCACAATCAGGATGTTTTAAAAATATGTAAAAACAGTGCACACATTCATACACACACAAATACAAAAACATACCTCTTTTGGTGAACAAGTATAACCGAAACGCCTAGAAGGACAACATTGTTCAGATTCAACGCAGAAATGCATAAAATCTGGACAGATCGTGTGCAATCTTTGTTTCAGCGATCGATATCTCTCATAGCTATAACAGAAATAAAATGATGTAAAATAAATTCCAATTAAAATGGTTTATTGCATAAAAACAAAAACAATAATAATTAAACTATGAAAGGGTGTATGAATTATTTTTATTCTCTTTGAGTTCCCAATGGAACACAGGGACTTCAAGCTTCGAGCACTGAAGTTCCAGTAGATGTGGTATTGTATTTTTATGGGGGTGAAGAGGGGGGAGTGCACGTTGCTAAGCTCACACATCCAACCTTCCCTTCTTTGTCGGGTTTACTACCTATCTGCACGCATAGAGAGGTTATAAGAAGTACGTCAACAAGGAATCGAACCTCGGGCAAAATGAGGAGTGGTTGATGAGTATTCAACCGGAAAACCATCAACACTCATGGAAGGGTATGGCCAGTTACTCTAGTTCCTGGTTTGAAATCAAACTGGAACAAAAAGAGTTTTAGTGCTGTGTGACGGCGAAGGCGAGGGTACAACTGATTTAGACTGGTCACACACAGCCTGCTTGGAGTGATCCCTGGAATTATATCCATATCAAGATCGTAACCGCCGACTACAGACTACCACATCGTATATCGGGGTATCTTAACTTTCAGGATCAACATTCCGTAACCCCCTCCCCTCCAGAGCAGGAAGACAACAGAGCTGGTTTGCTGGTTGTCCAACGGAAACATACCTTACTGCTTTAACATCTTTATTTGCCAGTAACTAGTAAGACTTTGCCCATAAACCCTCTCCTACACAATGTCAACGACTTTCATTATGATGATAGCTGTTTTTAGTCTAATCATTATTCAAATAATCCTTCTGGCATGATAGAACCTGCAGGAATATTTATTCTAGCCAATGTAGTTCGATACCGCACTATGATATGCAAACGTATCTGCTACGCGTGTCAATGTACCAACTATTGCTTAAGTATTACGTTTTCAATAAAGGTGTACTCCGAGAAATTACACTCAGATGATGTATTATGAAAGAATAACATGTTACCGGAATGGAATCTTTAGCTTTCAGAAAAGCTAATTAGACTTCTACTATTATTATTCCCTATCTAGCTGGTCGACGATCACCCATAATCTCTCAAGAAAAGGCTGTCTACAATCTCCAATGATTTACATGATTGAGGTGGACTGGATAATGCGGCAGACAGCGGCGGGCAATTAGGAGGCAGGCATAAAATGGACTCATACAAAAATCGGAGGATGTCGACTTCGCCGAGGACATTTGTCTGATTTCCCACAAACTGGAAGATGTGCAAGTGAAAAGCAACAAGTTAGCAGAATAAGCATCAAAGATAGGACTGCCTTCAGGTGAAGATAAAGAAAACAGAGGTGATGAAGATTCCTTGCCAACCGCAACACCACCAACAACAACAGACAACCATTAGCATAAATAGGAAAAATCTGAAAGAAGCAACCTTCTTTACCTACCTACCGACATGGGAAGCACCATTTCAACTACAGACGGATGGAACTGATGAGAATATCAAAGAGAAGATCGGGAAAGTAAAACAAGCTTTCTTTACTATCAAGTCTGTGTGGAGATCTACAGCACACTCAGCACGACAAATAACATCCGGATTTTCAACTCCAATGTGAAGTCAGTGCTGCTGTGTGGATCAGAGACTTTGCATGTCAGGAAGGGCACTTCGAACAAACTACAGACCTTCATCAACAGCTATCTTCGCTCAATACTACTAAAGATCAGATGGCAGACCAGAAAAGATCAGCAACAGGGATCTCTGGCAATGGACGAACCAACGCAGCGGGAACCGATTGTGTGACATATACGCAGGGGAAAGTGAAGAAGGATTGACCATACTCTGAGAAAACCATCGAGTGACATCACAAGCCAGGCCATCGCTCCAGTGGAACCTGCCGAATGCGAAGCGGCGAGTTAGTTGGTCATCAGTGTGAGGGTGACATGGAGGAGGTTATACGAAGAGCAGATGAAAGCATATGGGCAGACGTGGAGGCAGGTGAAAACGTTGGCGACGAAAGGAACGCAATGGATACGTACGGCTGAAGCCCCATGTTCCTTTAGGAACTAAAAGAGACAATATTAATTCGAATCTAGAAGAGAATAAGGTTATTCTTCTCTGTCGTTTGAAATTTCAATAGCGATGAGGTTGCATTTTTTTGCAGGTAGGGGGGTGTTGTTAATCTCAACCATCCTTCTTGTTTGTGTTTAGGACCGGCAACTAGGACTTCCACATCAACTGGAAAGAATAAGCAACATGAAACTATAGACACGAACCAGTCAGTGTAGAAATGTGACTCTCGAAATCCAGAGGATTCCATTTTGGAGTTTATATCAAAGACGGAATATATGCCGTTCATCACTCACACGGAGGTACACATCCAACTGAGAGATCGTAAACGGGAAGTGTAATGCACCCCCGTGGACTCACAATTGCCACCTGCCCCCACCTTAGAAGATATTTTCCCCATTCACTTCAGCAACAATGGTGATTTCACTATCAAATAGGCTCCTTTATTGTGTAACTTGTTGTGTGTTCTCCTCAATTGGTAACCACATGAAGATTAGAAAAGAGCAATACTCAGTAAGGCATTATCGTTGAATCCAATTCTCACAAGTAGCTATAGCCAGAATTCGGATGGTTTCTCTGTTTGAACCTAATCGTCTCTCTGAGCTGAAAGCTGAAATTGGTTATTACACCACTGGTTCGATCAGCGCCACCACCCTAAGCGAGCGAAACACAGTCATTCGAACTTTTAAATCATTTTGATTCGGCTATTGAGCACTACTTTCTACTGATGTCAGTAGTATCTGTAACTACTCATATCAATCAATCAATCATCAGTAGTATGCACTAGAGTGTATATCGATGACTCATACACACAGAAAGTGAAAGTATACTATAGGCAACAGTCTATTTAATCGTTGTATCTATTTTGAAAAAGAAACATTAAACCATAAGAATGTGTAACGCAATATAAATGTCGTTTTTCTTCTTCACTTGTCAAATTTTTATTTATCACGTGATTTCATATGAATGTCGTATGTCAATAAATCTATATATATACATATAACAGTCTAATCATCATTTCAAGTTAAAACAAGCATAAATTAAAACAAGTCACAATTAACAACAGTTTAACAACGTCAATTGAAAATTGAACAGTATAGGAAACATTTTTCAATATACACTCTTAAGCATATTCCTAATGGTAGCATTCTGTCTACTATATGATCACCACACTGGAGTGTTCGTCGTACAGTGCTGTTGTGATTCACTGGGTCAGGGATCCGAGTCCCGAAACTACCACCTACCCCCAGATTTGGTAAGTTGAGTAGTATCACTATAACCCTTATATATACAATAGGTGTGGCTCACTGCCAGTTGTTCATAGAGTTGCAAGTAGTTATTGCATAGTATTGTGAGTCGATGGCACAGCGGTAGAATGCTCGCCAACCACGTCGCGCATGTGGTCCGGGTTCTATTTCTGGCTGACGCTCTCCTGTACCTCACTGAGCCAGTAATAAAACTCGTAAAGAGGGAAGGTTGGGCATGAAGCTGGCTAGCAACCCCATCCCCTAAAATTAATAAACGCCACTGCTACCGAAACTTCAAAGCTCTAGCTTGAAGCTGCATATACCACTGGAAACGTGAAGGAATAAAATAACAGAAAAATTGCATAATATTAACACTAATTAACATTAGACTGTGCAAAGTAGCCACTGATAGTACCAGTAGAATCGGTTGCCCGTGGCACTGCCGTGCGAATCAACACACGTTATACAGAAAAATTCCATGAGCAATTGGGTTTCAACTGTATGGTTCAATAGTCAGCCCGATCGCCGTATGATCAAAAAATTCCGAGTACGATCACAGATCTAATCGAGGATACACGCATACTAACAAGCGCTATTTTTGCATTAGACTGAAACAGTTGGCCAACACAATCGTTTTCAGCCGGAAAGTTGAGTAATGTCCAGTTCCTAACGAAATGAAAATTAATCTGAGATTAATCAAATCAGCTGGAACATCATTTATTCCCTTCATTTATACTGTCTTTGATTCACAATCCTAAAATAGACTGAAGACTTGAATAAACATGAATACAGTTAGCACGATGAGCAAACGGTCGGGTGTGAGGACAAATACTCTACGAAGATATTGGCTAGCGGTCGTGGTATGTCGTAAATTGGCGGAAGTTGGAATTCCTGGGCTATTGGATCAGGTCCCAGTGGCTGAATGAATGATTTACGAACTTTCTAGCCTTGTAACCGGAATGTCCTGGGTTCGAATTCCGGTGGGTATGTAGTACTGAAGAGTCCCAAAGTAGGCTGACGAAACAGCTGGCTGTCCAGTACTCCCAGCTGGGTTTTCAATGATTCTCTAACTGATGTCAGGACATAGTGAAATCCTGGAACTAATACAATTAGAATTCAAGTGCATTTTTCAAATCTTTATCAACCACATTCAACAGATGCATGACAATGCCACATGTTGTCAAGTGGATTCACAATCGAAAGTTCCGCGAAGTCTCTGAAGTGAAGACACGAGTAAGACAAGGTTCCTTATTGTCATCAGCGATATTCCTGATCGTGGTGGACTAGATCATGTGACAGACAGTGGGGTGGGGAGCGACGCGACAGGTATACATTGCACTGATAAGAAGACTTTAGACGATTCGAACTTCATGAGCGACCTGTGTCTCGTAACACACAAACTCGAAGATCAATAGCCGAAAACTAAAAAGCTGGCAGAAAAGATCACTAGCAGAGATAGGACTTCAAGTCAAGATAGAGGAGGCAGAATGCAGAGATGACAAAAAAGAACCTAACCAACAGCAACAAACACCAATTACTATCAGTGGGAGGAAATTTCAAAGAGGTCACTTCTTTCACTTATCTAAGCATCATCGTTTCAGCTACACGCGACAGCACGGATGAAGATGTCAAAGCCAATCAGGATTCGAAAGGCGTGACAGACCTTCAGTACTCTGAAATCGGTCTGGAAATCTACTGTTCTAAGCATAAAGAACAAGATTTGGATTTCCAACACAAATGTCTAATCAGTTAGCATTTCAATATGGTTTAGAGACTTGTCGTGCGCGTCATTAAAAGCATTTCCAACACGTTTCACCACTGACTTACTGGTTTCAACATACAACTTTGTACAGACGTTAACCAGTTCGATTTATCGATCTTCCTCCATGTAGCGCACAAAGTAAAGAGAGATAGTCAAAAGAAGTGTAGGGGAAAAATGAATTGTAATAAGAAAGAATAACAGAGGTTTGTTGGATATGACAAATCATAATGAGTGAATGCATCTGCGCCAGCCATTGAGGTTGATTTTGAGGCATATCACCAATTGTTTCCGGCCCTCATTGATTTTCTGCCATCATGAGAGCGCCAACGAGTCAGTCAGGAAGCCTGATCAGCCCTATGTGGTTGACTTTAACTAACTGGTGACTGATGAAGCCATGTTTTCTTTCGACAACCACATGTTACCTCTTTTCAAACCTGATTCATCCTACGTCGGCGGCTAACATTGTCCGTTGTTGAGGAAGGCGATCGATGGCTAGGGGGATACATGCGTAACACATGTCCTAACCAACTCTTTCGACCGATGTGACTTCACAACCTTGTCGATTAATTTCACCTCCCACCTAACTAACACTCGACGCCTAACCTCAACAGATTCCATACTGTTACTAACAGCTATTTTCACTCCATACTAAAGATCACACCAGATCAGATCAATCGCAAAAGATATCCAACAATGAACTCTGGAAACGAATCAACCAAGAACCTGTTGCCTAACAAATATCCCGAAGTAAGCAGAGGTGGATCGGACACGCGCTAAGGAGACCATTGAGTTACATCGCGCGTCAGGTCATAGGTCGAGTGGAACCAGAACAGAAGATGACGAGTTAGGTATGGGTCCAAGGGTGACATGGGGGAGATCGGGTGAGCACAAGCAGATGAGAGCTTATGGGCCGACACGCGTGGAGCCAGTTAAAATGACTGCAGAGTATAGAATGAAATGGAGATGCGTTGTTCTTAATAATAATATATATATTTCTTCCTGTTTATGCAGGAACATACCAATTGTACAGGCATGGATAAGTTATTATATAAATTACACAAAATTTGATGTATGATGGATTTACAGTTTGGTTGTTCTTTCTGACATCAAAGTCAGTCGGAACAGTCTGCTATAAAGTTTGTTTGTGTAGCACATAAAGAGATATAGAAATATTGTCTTCGCATTAACAAAAAACCCTGACATCAGATGAATGTAATACAAATATCTGGAAAAAATAAAGCTTGAAGTCAATTCTCTTATATAACTTTGTTGTGAACAGCACCCTTGGCTTAAAGATTATTGATGTATTATGTTGAGATCAGTGATATATTTATTCCATTTTTTCAGTAGTCTTGTCGTAGATTTATAACAGGAAAGAAATTTGATCGTGGATACAAAAACTAGATAAGGTCATGTTGGGTTGTTTTACTGCATCAAGTGGTGCCGAGGTCGATTCCAGAATTCTCCATTTGCTCCATTTGTGTCTGCATGGCGGACTGTATTCGTAAGTTGAGTAAAATGTTGAAAACTGTTTGAAAACCAGTTGCTTCTTCATTTCAGATCATGAATACTCATTTACAGCATGTTCAAATGGTAGAATTGGATCGTTCCTGGAATTTGAGTGGTTATGAGATAGACGGTTTAGAATTAATCCTCATTTCAGTTTAGATGCAGGGTTGTTCGACCTCGACCAGAAGATGAATAGGAGCAGCAAAATACCAGAAAGAGAAAGTTGAAGTCTGATGTCACCCCCCCCTCCACAGAACTCGAGAGAACAACAAAAATAACAATACCGTTAGGACTGAATTTTCCTGAAGAGACTCACACTATAAGCTATGCTAATTGTATGAGATATGGCGATAACATATTTCAATCATAAAAACAAAAATAAAGGCAAAATTAGTCAACACACAACTTACAGTAGAAATACATTCCTTTCAGCAGGTTTAGAAACACTAGCCATTTCAATATTGAAACGTCCTTTTTCATAATCAGAAGCCAGGAAATGTGGTGATTTTGTCAACTCTTTCACAGATATTGATGGTATGATTCTAGGTGCAAATGTTCTAGACAAAACGTCAGCCGACATCTTTTCACACTTTCCATTTGCTAAACAACGTGAACCATGTGGACAACAGGTATTTTGTCCAGTACAGCATATGCCCTGTGTGTGAAAAGGCAAATTAAGCGATATAAGTAATTCAAGTGCAGTATAAGAACATAATATCAACAACAACAACAACAACGGGCATTTCAAATAATCGGTCAGTCAGTCAGGTAGTGTAGTGTATATATGCAAATATTGATTTTGAGGCGTTGGTGGTTTGCAAGAATTCGATTGGCTACAGGTTTCATCACACGAGCTGACATCAGTTATAGAAAAGTTTGGAAAACCAAACAAAACTAGACGGTTGCTTCATCCTAGTTTGGGACTCTTTATCAGTGAGTGTCTACCGGGATTCGAACTCAGGAGCTTCTGGGTGATGGTGGGAAAATATTTCATCCTAGTTTCATTCTATTTAGTGTGCACCAATGGATACACCAAGGGATAAAATCAATAAAAATCTATACAAAACTCAAATCTGAATATCGTATTCTAGGTCATTAGTGCATATAGGATAGCTGTCGTGAATCTTCAATTAGAAGTCGTAGACGGAGGGGTTCACTATATATGGTTGATATTATAACGGAGTGTTCCTGGACAGTGACGACGATTAACTTGACTACATATACGCCCTCAAACATGACATTATAACCAAATGAACACTTAAAAATCTTCCCCACACTGAGAAAGACACCAAATCCAACAAGGACATTCACGAGACAGAATACGTGGTGTGTATAATTTACAAAAATTCAGGAATTTAAGCCGTGAACAAATAAATAAACAAATCTGATTGGTCGCATGCCCTCTGAAGTCCTCAAAAACTCAAGCCAAAATTAAACCAATCAAAAACTGTCCAATCTGGTTATCGTGTTGGCACACGTGCATCAATCATGATTTCACGGTTAACAAAGAAAGCTTTTTCCCTCCAAAGAGATATGTAATGGATGCCTGTTGATAGCACTGGTCGGCGGTAGCACAATAATGCAAATTGACAAGAGTAGGGATTCACAGGCCAACGGATCGGCCCCAGTGGCTGAATGGTTTCCTTGTAATCTGAAAGTCCTGATTTTGATCCCTAATGATATCATGAATGTATACAGCTGAAGAGTCTCCGAGTAGGACGAAACAGCTGACTGGTATTCACCAGCTTTCCAGTAGTTTTCTAAATGAAATCAATTTATGATCATGCTGAAGATCAACTAAATCTGTGCAAACTAACACTTGTGAATTCTTCATCACTTATGCATTTCAATGAATGGTGTGTTCAATGCTGGTAAAACAAATAGATATACTTCGATTAAAAACTATCCACGCTAATAATGATGATTATTTAAACTTATAATCTGTTTATTTTAAGTCAGTAAGCCTCAATTTGCAAAGATTTGATCATGAATTGAATTCAGTTGATAAATCATTGAAAACCCAGCAGTGTGTACTGATTGACCTAGTAATCGACCGATGCGTAACCTCACCATTGCTCACCTTATTATATCACGCTAACTAGCACGGGGGATAGAACGCAGACACCCATGATCAAAGACAAATAGTTGGACTGACTTTCCATATTTTCCACTTTCAGTCACTATGTTTATCAGAGTAATTGACAACAAGTATTATCATCTGGACACAGAGTTTGGTAATCCGGACAAAAATGTTGTCAATGCATTTTAACGGGTACGAGATCGTGTTGATTATGTAATTCCTTATCATCGACTGTATCAGTTGGCGTTGATGATGATTTAACAGTACCTGATTTAATCTTTACACATGACGAGGTCTTATAATCACATTTAGTCCCGAATGGACAACAGTGAATACCATCACTACAACATGTAGCCTACACAAATCAATACATACAGAAAGCACAAAGAATAAGATTAAACATATACATAATACCACTGCTGTCATTTTTATTTATTCATTTTATTCCTTCGCGTTCCAGATGAAATATATATGTGGGTGGGGGGGGTCAAGCTAGAGCTTTGAAGTTTCAGCAACAGTAGCTCTTACTTACGGAATGAGGTTGTTAGTCACACGCCTAACCACCTTCCCTTTTTACCGAGCTTACTAACAGACAAGTGAAGTTTAGGAGTGCATCGACCGGGAATCGAACCACGGACCTATTGTTCAGTTGGCGTCAGTGTTCTACCATTGAACTAAATAACATCCTGTCGACTTCCAGCAGAATCCGAATACAAAATGATGAGTTGAGCAGGCGTTTGAGGGTGACAAGCAGAAGAAATCTTATGGCAAATCTTGGAAGCGACCATCTAAAAAGAACTGCAGAGAACAGAATGAAATCGTGGTGTGTCTATGAAGTCCGACAATACACTTGGAATCTAAGGGAATAATGATAATAATATCTTTGAGGCACATACTAGATGCCAACCTATCAACTGAGAATTATCTTAAAATTATCAAATATATGCTTAGTTTCAAAAATTAGTGAAAAATATACCGGTATTACATAACACTTTCTTTATAGACTTACATTACGAGTTGGACAACAAGCATACCCACCGCCTTGACTTAATTTACAACAAGTTGATGTATCAGGACACATTGATTTACCACCAGGGCATAATTGACTAAATACATTCGACACTGAACTCTCATCAACATCATTATCATCATGAACACCTTTCGAGTTAACGCTTAAAGCGGTAATCTTCTTAAATAATGAAAGAGATGAAGGCTTGGGAGGTTGCATTTCTTGAGGTTTGCATCCACCAACGGTCGGATCACAAACTGTACCTTCAGGACAGCAATGCTTACCGTCACCACAGCAGACAGCCTGAAAACAACAGAAGTAGAATATTAGTAAAAGATATACTTTTTCTAATTACAGTAGAACTTTTTCTGCTTTTGAAAGTGTGTGGGCCCAGCTCCCTACATCTTCGGAGTTGGTTTTCTTCCTGAGGTACGGTATGTACAAAGGAAACAGCACTAGTGTTCCATGATGGCACTACTCAGAGGACAAGTGATTAAGGGTTGGTCAAAGAAGAGCTGTCTGAATTGGTTTTTGTAGTTGATTCCTTTTTAAGACCTCATTACCGGATACGGACCCCCACGGAAACATAAGTCGGTAAGTAAAATTTTCGGTGGTGACTTTTTCTAACTCCGTATCCCATCTCCAGAGAGGAGAGACAGCATAACTGGCCCGCTAGCCATTCGAAGGGAACATCCTTCAGTCGCTACATCCCCATTCCCCAACAGTACGACATCCCACCCCCAGAGACCTGAGTTGGAGAACTTCTGTCCAATCAATCAACACGAAAGTCCAAACTGAATTAAATAGTTACTGATACCTGATGCAGAAGAACACCATCACTTACTCGGGAATTCAGGTACATCCAGTTGACGAGTCCCAGGTAGGAACAAACGCACATCCTGGCTTGATTCCACTGCTAGTCACCATCCACCAACTGTCATACACTGTTCTTTTCGTCTGCACGATGAATACTAAAGAATAAGGATTCCCTCTGATTTGGTATAACTGTGCAAACATCCTGTAAGAAGTCGGCCTTATTCCAAATTGCTTTCTCTACTGGGAATACCCCATTGGTTGGTTTAGCTCAGTTACCCGGAACCTGTTTTCTTATATACCAGGCTAAGAGGTACAATTATTGGATAGTAAGCTGTTGATACTACCCAGTTGCCCAAGCCGGATTAGGAGGAGCGGGACTCGAACCTATCCACCCATCTGCCGAAATTCCAAGTGCTTCAACCAATGACCCCCATCTCCACAAGTATGCAACCACCGGGGTTCGAACCCGGGACCTTCCGAAAACAAGACGAGCTCAAGAAATTATCCACTAGACCATTTGGGTGGGATTCAACGAATGTTTCCAGAGACCCTTCAAATCCAAAACGTTGCATAGACAGAAAAACTGTGATAACTAGACATAACACCAAAAAACAAGTATATCATAACATACATTTTCGTGAGGACAACAAAGTGAGGACTGATCATCCACGCCAGGACAACATGTTCCACCTATGCAAGCTGATTTCTTATCAGAACAAATAGTAATAAGTGAATGTAATGTGTTATCATTATTATTATTATTGGGAACAGATTTCGGTTCCATTGCAGCCACAATATCACCTGACTCATCAAGACAAGTCTCCTCTTCTAGATCACAAACTGTTTTCTCTGGACAACAATGAATACGATCAGAACAGCAAACCGCCTGGGGAAGAGAAAAGAGTTAAGAGAGAATGTATGTGAATGCATCTAAAGTAATCTTAAAGAGTATATTGATTAATCACACGCTAGACGGTAACCATTCTCATGTATCACTTGTCCATGATGTTAGTGCTGATAAAGCGATTCTATCACTGAAGACCGGAATGTGTTTATCAAAGAAGGCAAAGAAGGTCAACACCTATGGTGTCGTGCCTGTTGACACTTGTCCACAAGGCGTACAAACACACCTACAACCTTAGAGGAGTTGATTTCACCTGTAGGATTCTAAAATCTTAAACTGTATCTATGCTGAGACATTCAAGATACATCAATGACTTCCATTATGACACGTATTAGAAGTGAGTATACTCATGTTAGAAATTGAAAAACAAACCTAGGGACAACATTACAAATAGAGATTTGCATGTCAAACAACTTCTGTGAAGTCATTAAGCCTCTGAATCATATCGAAACATTGTGTTTGACATTAGTATTGCTTATGCTGAGTGCTTTACAACTCTACACTAAGTTCAGACGACAAGAGTAGAGAATACATACCACAGTTAAATGATCATGATCACTCAACACTACATTACTTGCGGCTGAACCGCTTGAAGTTGATGATAAGTTTGTGTATCTGGGTAGTTGTGTGAGTGCTGGCGGAGGGGTGACGGATGAGATTTCCAGCCGTATAATGAAGGTTAGGGTGGCATACATCAACTTGAGCCACCTCTGGCGCCGTCGCGATGTTAGCCTGACTGTCAAAAGTCGGGTATACAATGCTTCGGTGTGGGCTGCTCTGCTCTACGCCTGTGAAACCTGGCCTCTCCGAGCTGAGGATGTGCGGCGGCGACTCTGTGTGTTCGATCACCGCTGTCTCCGCAGGATTGCTTGAGTTCGATGGCATCATCACGTGAGTAATTCTGAGGTTCGGCGGCGTGTGTTTGGACACAGTGGAGATCACCATTCATTGAGTGTCGTCATCTGGAAACACCGGCTCCGGTGGCTTGGGCGTGTGCTGAGAATGTCATCCCAGAGGCTTCCGTACAGGTCTCTGTTCGCTAGTCAGCCCTGGGACGGGATGGAATAGGCGGAGGAGTGGTCAGCCAATGACATGGCGTTGTGGGATGGAAAAATGTTTGTGCTAGATTAGCATCGGCTGGTGTGTCACGACTCCCTGGTTGGGATTCGCGAGATAGCTCGAATCGATGACTCGAAACGTTATCGGATATGGTCAAGAATCACAGTCATCAATGGCGAACGTGTTGCAATTTCCTTCTTTCTTCCCTTCCTGATGATAGTTAACGAATACTGTTTGAACTTGTTAAGCATGACTGTTTTCCTTCCAGATGAAGTTCTTTATCCATTCTCTACTTATATTTTTTGCCTTCTTTTTTTTCTTTTGATCTATGTTGATTTATTATTAGTGTGTGGCGCATCTTTCTTGGTGCCATATATATATATCCGAGCAACATACTTTTATAGGCAAAGTTAAACTAACATAGCCAAAACCACAGTGACCTTGAACCAACCAATCAGAATTCAGGTAAAAAAAAGTTGCATAATTGTTGGAAAATACACTAAAAATTATTATTAACATGATATTACACTGTGTATTTGTAGATTATGTGTTGTAAGAATGACTCTTAGTCATTACATACACAGAGGATCCATAGAGAAATCGTACCATGCACGATATGTCTATTCATTCAGGTGAATGTAGATCATGGTGTGGTGGTGTAACACAGACAATGTGTGCCAACGGAAGGCTATTCTCACATGCCCCCACAGTTCAATTCGACTTTAACAACAGAATACGATATATCTATTTGATGTTAAAGTCTGAGTGTTATTCCCACAATTGAATACTGCATTAGAAAACAGAATACTATGTATATTTGATCATTCTATTTCTTGTCGTTTGATGTCAAGACAAAATCACATGCTCAGTGTTTGGTTAACGAATATCAACTGTAGATATATATAAAAACCTGTTTTATTAATAAGAAATATGCTTTCACTTCCGTGTCTTGCCTTTTGTTGTTACGATGGTACTTTGAGAACCATTGATATTCCTGACACTGTTCTTCAATCTACTCCTAACTCTAACCATAATCCTCCTAACTTTAACCCTAAACCTAACCTTAACCCTAGATCACAAACCTTAATCTTAAATGCCATAACCCTGCCTAGATTTGTAGAAAAAGTACGCAGTAAACAAGCAGAATAGCGTATGTATCCCCTCTACAGGCAATGGTTAATTTCGCAGCAGTTATTCTATAAGATTCAGGTTTCTGATAGAGAATAAGCCCACAGATATAAGTTAGATATCACTTCTGAGGATCTTAAACTTCTTTATTTTCATCCCTGATGAATGAGACAATCGGATGAATTTAGCGGTAAACATGTTCATTTCGATGAAGTGCATTGTTGAAATTCTTCAGCCAATGTTATGATACAAGTGGAATTTACGTTATAACCGGTACGTGCCACAGCCGAAAAAGGCAGGCATGATTTGATTTGGAATGTGTCTGATCGGCCCTTGAAGGTCAACCTTTGAAAGACCTGGACTATGGCTATGATACTTTAACTTCACTATTTTTTGTACTAGAAATGCCACTTTTTACCTCGGAGCATAAGTATGACTGGTTCAAGGTCATTTGACTATTGCCTTTCAGACAAATCAGCTCATGATTAAATCCTGTAACCAATCAACCACATCCCTACAAAACAATACTTGAATATCAATGGGATGCTCACTGGCGACTGGCCCTATTCAGGTAGGTAGTTACCTGGGGTTCCAGTTGGAAGTCGTGACCAGTAGGGTGCAGCAGGTCGGGTGTGAGGACAAATATTCGCCTAAGACATTGGGTAGATGTCGCGGTATGTCATGAATTGGTAGAAGTTAGAATTCATGGGCCATTGGATCGGGTCCCATTGGCTTAATGGTCTACGAGCTCGCTAGCCTTGTAACCAGAAGGTCCTGGGTTGGAACCCAGGTATCATATTCTGTTGTGAAGACAGAAGTGAACTCATATACAAAAAATATCATAAGAATATCACCTTATCGGACGGACTCTAAGCACTCTCTCTCTCCATAGACAACTCTCCCCAATCTATCTCATCAGGTAGAAGTGGAAGCATCTATAAAAGACTTCTTTGTCCTCCAGCGATACTTTATTCGGCGCTCATTCTCTATGTGATGGGAAAAAAGTGTTAGACATGAAAACTACTCACTTACTGAGAAACAGCAAATAAACAGCAGGTTTTATTCTTTCCATCATATTAATATGTTGCTGTTACAATTCTCTTTTATTTTACATTTATTATTTTTTTTGTTGACATTACTGTAAAACATTTTCTCCCTTATTATGTAATGTAAGCATATATTATTATTCCATTAGGTTCCAAGTGGAACATAGGGCTGAAACGGTGCATCCACATTTCATCCAGGTCAAAGCTGTCCACTTTAGCTGGCTCCACAATTGAAAATAAATTCTCATCTCCACCACGACCACCATCTCTTCCTCCTGCCCCTCCCCACACAATCTCCTCCATACCACCCCTGTAACTATACCAATTCGTTCTTTTATATTCCCGTCTCACTCCAGGACAGAGGCATACAACGTCACTCACTGGTCTTTTCAACATGTAGCCGATCCATCTCCGTTATTTTCGGCAACAGATTCTTGGTTGTCTCTTCTCTGAGTGTCCTTTTTATTGAAAATCCTTCTTGACTGGCTCATCTGATATCCTCGCTATGAAGCTAAGGGGTGGTTGTTGATATAAGTCTGCATGCCCCTATTCAAAATACTTTTTCAGTGATGCGCACTGAAAGTCTATAAGCTAGTGTAACAACAGAAGACAAGGACCAGCCAGGCAACAGATCGTTTATTAAGGAAATCAACACGTATTTGTATATATTTCATGTTCATTATTATAGCTTATTCAAGCAAACAAACACATTCTTCTGATTGGTTGTTTCTCACTGAAAGTTGACCTTGCATCTCTTTGTGACTGTTTCTTGAATGTCAGGTCACCTATATGTTAATTGTATCTGCCTACGCAGAGTCTGCTGTGATTGGTTGTTGAATCAGTCTTGTTCATATTTTCTCACGACAAATATTTGAGACATAAACATTGACGTAAATTAATGTCTACCAATTAGCTAGCAGCCTCCTCTCACCACACTAGCTGTGTAAAACAACTGATTTAACATATCAGCATTGCAAATCTGAATCTTGTTCCTTATTGTGTGTGTGGATGTGGGTGGGGGGCAGTAGGTTTCCAAACTGATTTCATTTCATAAATAATGAAGATCTGTTTTGCTTTTCTCACATCCTCATCCGTGCTGACTTACTACTTGCAGTTGACCACCTTCAAATTTCCCCCCCCCCCGCCTCAACAACTCTCGATAGTGATTGTGCTATATGCAGAGAATTCCATGATGTCACAAATATACTGTTGCGAATAAAGAAATGTTCAGTACACAAGTTCCTTAGTAAGGTGCCTCTCTTCAGTAGAATCCAACGAGTATGCACTGAAGATACACTTGATGAAGAAGAAAGAAAGTTGACACAAACTCTGGTTGATAACAATTATCCAGACAAGTTCATTAGAAGATATAAAGTATTCAGAACACCAAGACTAGTCTACTACTCTATAACTCACCACTAAGAAAGACGTGTACATCAAGCTACCCTATATGGGGGATCATAGCGGCTTGAAAAAACTAGACAAAGATTGGACGCAGTTGTGGTTAAAAAGACTTTTTAAGCAGTTAATATCAGAATAATTGAGAATGTGAAGCTCCCATGTCTATCTAAGCCCTTTGAACATGCGAAAAATGATTTCATACCACACTGTATTTAAAAATTTGAATGTATTTGTGGACACACATACATACATAGGGAGGACTCATCAATCTCTGAAAGTTAGGGCTAGCTTCCGAAGCAAATAGAATCCCCAACACCAATCAATGGTGAGAATAGACGATGACCTAACTCTTCTATTGTGAAACATATTATAGAGACATGAGATAAAATTGATGTTAAGACATCTATTATAAACTTATCTATAAAACGTGTTTGCGGGAAGGCGTATCCTAAAGTTTGTAGAAGCCCTAGAGCTCTGCGGCCATAGCAACAGTTCCTCATCATACTAAACCTACTAACCAGGATAGATGTACTCATTCCATCTTTTATTTGGTGAAGTGATCTTCATTGTTATTCTGACCTTAAATATGCCCTTTTAACTTGACCTAAGTGGTCTATTTTCTCACCTCTTAACTCTTTATTCATTTCAAATATAATCCTTTCGTTCCAAAATTACTATTATTATTATTTGTACGAGTTTGACCACGGATTGATATCTGTCAAGGAACTAAACCCTAAGTTTCTATTATTTGCGAAGACACACCGAATCAACAATTACTCGGTACGATTATCGAATTTAATTCCAAAACACAAGGACCAATAAGAACATGTATTGTATTGTTCGACAGTTAAATTTGTTATCGTACAAAGTCTATAAACAAATGTTTTACAAGGAATGTACTGTACTTTGATTCGTATTCTTTCGTCTTCTTTTTCCAACTTGTACACGATTGAATCATTCACGCCTTCGAGTTGCCCACCGATGGCTATGAACGTCAATGAGCCAGCGTTCAATGTTCACATTCATTTATACTCCCTGCCAAAAAGGGGTCCGACCCGTTTCTCCATAGTACCGATAACCTTGAACTGAACTGCCAACGCGGGAACCTGGGCCAAGCGGGACTAGGCTAAAATGGAAAACTAGACAAAAAAGCCCCAACACACAACAAGCATACTACATCACGCCAGTACGCCTCCCCACAGAGTAGGATCTCCCTCAGGGATCGGAACTCCATTCACTCTCTGTCAAAAGTACCACCACTTGTCTGGTCCTCGGGGTGTTGTTTGCTTCATGTCACTCTGGCACTCTGCCCCTCTCCGGCGTATCAAATTGCGTAGAATGACTCTAACATCATTCGATTCGTTCACAAGTTTAGAAGACTAGAAACGACTTCAGAAGTACTTACAATAACATTACAACATGGTTCACACAATGCAACAACTATAAAATTAACCAACAATTAGATGAATTGGAGCCCATCCTATTACTTAACAGAAATATATGTACAATCAATAAATCAGATATTGTGGATTCTGTCTTGACGAGCTACATTGAAGAAGTGCAGGACTTACAGAAATACGCCTACAACCCTTCACAGGTTGACGCCCTTGAGTCTCAGAGTTTACTCGCTGACCTCCTTCTATCATCTATATCCTCTGCTCTGTACGGTGACACGCCCATAACATTGTATCGTACAATGTAGATGACTAAAAAACATACGACCAACCAAGCTAAGGCACGGAGAAATTTACACCAAAGATAATGACATTCAAATAGTAACTTGAAACTTGAAATGCCTCTATTCGTGCAAGCCAGTTTAACAATTACCCTCTCGTACACAGCTGGCTTATCCTCCCTAAACTAACCATTGATTTTTGTCCTTTCAAACGCACCGATACTAGCATAGTCACAGCATAAGACACAAGACTTCATGGACGTCACCTTCATTCTGGATGACAACTGAACGATACAAGTTGATGAACTTAGCAGTGCATCAGAAGCTATTATCGTTCGACCTTTAGAAGGTTGTCTAACCGCAGGATTGCCATCACCGCTACCTTTTATGATTAGCTCCAGTTTAGCATTAACACCTGTTGATAGGTGGACTACACGCGAATCATTTACACTGACGATCTCATGAGTATCCATACCTTCTACCACCACATCTGCCTTTAATTCTGCTTCACGTTCAAGTTGTACAGAACCATTGTTCAACTCAGTAGTAGTAGGCATTACGCTCGTCTCATCGTGATCAGTCGAAGACAAATGTGCTCTATCATGACCAGTGTCACAATTATCCACTTTACCACCGTTTGTATGATCGACTTCATCATTTTCAACCCCTTTAATAACGGCAGTAGATGACTTAGGTTCTTCCTCATGAATCCCTAAAGGTTTTATAACTTTAATCTAACTAGTAATACCTTGTAAAATTGTGGAGTCAGAACTGGACTCTGCAATTGTAACCCTCTTCTTTTGCACAAACTGTGGTGTCATCTGCAACACGCAATTCAACAACGGCTTACCAGTAGCAGCTACAGGCTTCTTCACCGCATCATCTTCGCCACACGATTCGGAGTCAGAACTTGATGACGCTGATTTCACATTTAGCTTAACACTAAACTTGTTCACTGATTCACAGTTCGCCTTACAGTTCAACCTTGTATGTCCCGCCTTTAAGCAACTAAAACACAACCGCTTCTGCTTTGCCATTCTCAGCCTTTCTACAGGAGACATTGCAATGAAACGATTACAATCACCAAGTTGGTGCGTGTTAAGGCAAATGATACACTCTTCCTTTCTCGTTGTGCCTTGTGCCTTCACTACAAGTGGCTTCTTTATATTCAATGATTTCTTAGGTTCTACTATCGGATGCAAAATGCTGGCGAACTTGCCCATCGCTTGATTGACATTGTCCTTTACCAGTCTCACAATATCATCGAACCCGGGCTCTAAACCATCCACTTCTAAGCGGGAGCTGATTTGTATGACCCCTCTTTGTAAGCGAACGGGTAATCTCTTAGTGATTGCCTTAAGAACAGAGCTTGAGTTCCACTCATCTATACAGTTAAGAGAAACAAGAGTATTTCTGTACACCATTAAAGTATGCAAAAACTCAGCGAGTTCCTCAGAGTTATCGCTTAACTGCTCACCATGACCCTTAACGGTCTCAAAAACACTCCTGGATATCATAAATGGCCCCCCGAAAATTTGACGTAATATCTTTGACGTAATATGGCCTCAGTGTATCCTTCGTTTGGGCGCATAAACTTGCAGCTCTTGCAGCAACACCAGTGCAATACCTCAACAGATACATCGACTTCATTTCGTCATTTATTACAAAACCACTCAACATGACTTCAAACTCCTTTACAAACTGTGGATAGTCGACTGGGTTTCCATCAAAGTACCTAGGCTCAAACTTAGGTAACTTAAAACCCCTACTGTCACTAGACGGCGAAACATGAACATCAAGCCTGTCATGCTGAGCATCAAACACATCACCACAAATAACAGGCAACTCAACATCATTTACATTTCTGTCTGCTTCCAAAGCGCCACGTCCCTTCTTTGGCCCAGGCATAATATCCAACATCACCAAAAGATCCAAATTACGCTGCGATAATCCATGTCCAAAGATGCTGGCAGCAGACCAAATAAGTACTCTTCAAAAGAGTTAGAGAAGGCGCAACAGAAAACGAAGAGAAGAATAAAAACTGTCAAGGAACTTTACCCTACGTTTCTAGCATTTGCGAAGACACACCGAATCGACAATTATTCAACAATGTAAAAAAACAGAGAAAGTATAACCGTTACAAGTCAATAGTTGTTTAAACCTACCCTAGGGAATGGACAACAACCCCATCCACCTTCAGTGACTTGACAACAAGTAGTGTTTGATGGACACGAGAAATTACCATCAGGACATATGATATCTTTGATTATCTTTGTTGAGTGTGATAAGGATGAAACAGAAGCTGGTGGTTTCTTTGAATTATCATCAGATGGAGAAGAAGCAGAAGTGAATTGTTGTACACATCTCTGAGAGGCCAGATCACATGAATAACCATTTGGACAACAGTGTTCACCATCACTGCAGCATACAGCCTACAAAGGAAAATATTCCAATGGAAAGAGAGAGGTACGGTGAGGGAACTAACAACCATTACCAACCAGGAAAATAACAAAATAAAGGCAAATTTATGAATTGAATCAAAGCAAAATTCAGATAAACTTTAACAACAACAACAACAAAAACAAAAAATCACAAACCCAAAGAATAGGAACAATTACATCATTAAAAATGACCGTTCGATTGACTTTACAGGTTTCCTTTCATATGTTATAAATTGCAAGGATTTCATTGGTTTTGAGTTTGATCAGGAAGCCGACATCAGTTAGAAGACCACTAAATACTAAATACTTTATAAGCAATTCTTCAACAGTGAGCACCCTTGAACCAACCGCCAAGAATGCAACAGAGAACCTTCAGGTTACCAGTCGAGCTCACTAACCATTCATTCAGTCGTAATCAACGCCGTTTATCAGGTTGGATGTGGGAATAGATGCTCATCGACGACGACTTTAGCTGGCGATGGCACTATATACTGCGAGTAAGTCGAAGTTGGGATTTGTGGGTGATTAGATTCCGTCTCATTAGCTGAAGAGGTCGACAAGCTCGCTCTGTGGGATGCTGGGTTTAGTAGTCCTCAGTTGGGTTGTGCATTTGAATCGACGAAGAGTCCTGAACAAGGATGAAACAACTGACCAACAGTTAAAGGTTTTTAATGCTTATCTAACGAATGTCAATTTCGAAAACCAGTGGGGTGGGTGCGTACTCTATCGAAGAGTCCCAAACTAGACTGATAAAACAGCTGGCCGTTCAGTACTCCATGCAGGCTCTTCAATGGTTCTCTAACCAATATCACAAACCATCACAAGCCTTTGGTTCTTAGAACTCATAGGGCCATACCAAGACAGCCTCTACATCGTCTCCTTACGTTTCTGTCAAAGACTTGATGGGATGATGCCAGGTTTCCGTCCAACCAGCCACCCACTCACCCCCGTCTAACTCTTTTACAAAACTTAATCACACATAGCAGCAATCTAATCGCATGGCACCATGAAATCGAAGGAAAACAAGGAACGAAAAGGCAAACAGAGTAACAACAGAATAAAACGGAAGTGACGCTGAAGATTGTAAAAGAATAACCTGATATAAAGTAACCTGGACTACTACAAATAATAATACTATACATTTGCAACTGCTTGTGGCATGCAATCATAATTGCCTTTGCTATTCACACACACACACACAAACACATAGTAAAATTAGTATGATAACTTGAAAGATTATCGAATAAATCCATTTATTATCTCATAAATACAACATATATCACCATGGTGATATGAAAAAGTCAATTAAGAATGTCAGAACAATCTAAACACGTGTGGAAAAATCGTTAGATATCTAGAGAGTCTCAAGCATGCGCACGCCCACACACACACACACATACACACACACACAACTAAACACACCTTAAACAATAAAATGACAACACAAATTACTGAAAAAATTGCCAATGTAATGCCATACATTTTTTTCTTCATTGGTACGACAGTGGAATTGTGCGTCACAATAATTCAAATACAATTATTAACATAAAACACATCAAGTCAGGAATTTAAAAACCACCAATTCGGATCTGATTGAGACGAAGATTTACTCCTGTCAACCGAAATAGTAACTCGCGTTTTCATTCAGAACGACACAGCTGTAGTCTGAAACAATTAGTCTTTGACCACGGATGTTTGTGTTCCATCATCTCTCTCCCTCTCCCAGTCGAGTTAAGTGGTATAATATGGTGAGCAATAGTGAAGTTAGGCGTAGAGTGTTAGATAACAGTGGGATAAGTCAATCGATTAAGATGGCTAAGACACGTGTTGTACCCGACGAGTCAGTCACAACCTTACTCAAAAGGGTAATATCCTGACATCTAGGATAAACTGAGAATAAAAGAGTTAGGGGTAGTGAAATCAAAACCCCTTTAAACCAACTCATGAAGTCTTTGATTGTTGGTTTGAGTCAATCATGCAGGAGGTATAGACGACTTCCTGGTGGGTGGTTGATGTCGTCGGGATGATGCTTAGAACCAATGAAGAAGGCTGGAGGAGACGACTATTAGTGAGATGGCTCAAAATCTTTCTGAATGATGATGAAGACGCATTCACTCTTTGCGACCTCTCATATCTACTAAACCCTGTCTTTAGATATTACTATTTGTTTTCTTTCTCATGCACATTTCTGCTGATTATACGCTCCTTTCGAGTTATTTTTTTTCTCTCTGCTTTGTGCGGTACATGGAGTTTAAGGCAAGTTGGACTTGTGCACTTCCATGCAAAGTACTACACATTGAAACTCAGTCCGTCAGTCATAGTTAAAATGCCAACTCTAACTGTGGTGTTGTGATAGAGACAATGGATTCCAATGGAATATTACTCTCACAGTAAGCATCATTGTATTTGTTGGTTTCATCGTCTGAATACTGTTCCCACATTTCAGTACTGCATTGACTGGAACGACATTTTGGAGCTCTGTTGACAAATCTGTCAGTCAAATCAATCAATGTGGGAAATAAAACTGACTGGAAGAAGTGATAACTGATAAACGTGGCACAAGAAATGGCTCTGGTTGCTCCAGTGGTTCAGTAGATAATATATAATCATTTGCTTTATTCCAGAAACAGTACTAGTGGTACAGTGTGGAATTTTCAGCACATATCTACAATATTGTATCTAATTTCACGGCATATTTAAAAGGAGTATTACAAAAAATAAATATAAAACAACAACAACAACAAAAACCAGAAAGAAACACAAAAATAACAAAAAATATGCAAATAAAAATACCAAGTGGAAAGGAAGATAAACACCAAATAATGAATAATATTCCGGTATTTGAGCTATGATATGAGTATGCGTAGTGAACAGTAACAGCTATAATCATATGAAATGTTCTTAAGAATGTTTATAGCCAAGATGATCAGTTAATTTGATTGAACTACACTAAACAATCATAAAATACACATTTCAGGGTTTTTTATTGTCAGCACTAATGCGGTGTTTATTGGAAATTGTAAGTCACAAGGAGTGGATGCATCTGCGGCAACCATCGAGAACGATTTTGAGCCATATCACCGATAATTGTCTCCAGCCTTCATTGGTTTTTACCGTTCCGAGGGCCCCAACCGGGAAGTCTGCATTTTCCTATGTGGTCGGCTTAAACTAACTGTTGTGGATTTCATTGACTGGTCCCATGTTTTGGTTTGACCACCGCTAGCTCTCCCCAACCTGATCCCTCCTATGTCAGCTAAAATTGGCAGTCAAAGGAGGCGATGGCTAGGGACGCATGTGTGACACATGTCCTAACCATCTCAGTCGATATAGCTTCACAGCCTCGTCGATTGATGTCCCCTCCCGCCCACCTAGCACTCAACCGAAGCCTAACCTCAATATTTTTCACCCTATTATAGCACTTCACACGGGAGATAGAACGCAGGCACCTATGATCAAAGACAGCTAGCTAGCTGGCCTTTCATGTCTTCCACTTTCAATGACCAGGTCTCGCTCACAGCCATAAAAGAGGACGGAGTGGACAGCTGAGCAGTACATCCACTCTTTGGTCGATAGCCGGATATCACGTCTGCTCCAGAGACAGCCTAAGCCGGCGAAGACTGGGATACTGCTCGGTAGTCCAAAACCACCCCACTCCGAGCCTCTCACCTGAAGTCCTACACACATGGCAGTGCAGCACAGTCAGGAACTACGTTCCCACGGGTGTTGATAACACAAACAGGTTCATTCTTCAGACTATCCTTTCTGATTCTGGAGTCAATGTACACTGTAGGTTTGGAATGAGCTTCCCTAGGTAGAGCTGCATATTTACCAGTACGGTTGTAAGCGTCAGATGTTCGGATTCTCGCTTTCACTTTCGTGAGGAACACCCACGCAGTGTGAAGACACGGAACTGGACTTATTTGGTATAGGCTATGAAAACATGGCCATATAACAGCATTTAGGCCGGAAGACCGAAGCTTATCCATCCTAGGTCATACCAGATCGTTTATGGGGGCCAGTGATTACTAGCATCACTCTGAAGTGAGTTGTTTTTCGGGGAGGGGGAGATTTTCTACGTTAAAACTGTCTCTTCTGATGACCTTGACTGTGATTCGTTATCTTCAGGAGTTTTGATCATCCTAGCACTCATCTGCATTTGATAATGATCATTTCGTTGACTTGAAGACCACAGACAACTAAGATTTAGAAAAAGTACTACTTTAAAATATGACACACCGATAAAAAATAAATTGTACCTCAGTGATTCAGAGGTAGAATCCCCACCCTCCATGCCACAGGTGGTCCGAGGTTCGATTCCCGACGGATGCACTTCTCCTAAACCTCGTTCAACTCGTAGTGAGTCCGGATAAAAGAGGGAAAGTTGGGCGTGAGGTTATCAACCTCAATATGTTCGTAAAAACAACACGAACACCGCTCTAAATTAAAACCTTCAGCCCTTATGTTCCACTCGGAAAGCGAAAGGAGTGAGTGAAAATTAAGGAAGAAAACAGCAGACAGTTTATACGAATCCATACAAAAGCCAATAAATTCATTCACTGATACCACAGTCTAATTTGACTAACACATATAATTATCTTCCTTTTAAGGAAAGACATTTCAGATAGAGAAACACTCAGGACAACACAGCATTGTATGCATAAGACAAGATTTGAGCAGGTTATGTGTATATGAGCTGAATATTTTCCTCAAGTAGGCAGTAGTAATTACGCCTACACATACACACACAAAACTTCGAGAAAAGTGGGAAGAACTCAACATGAAAGATTTAAAGGAAATCGATAATCGATATGTAATCAGAGCAGGGGATAATAAAAATAAATGTACTCAGATATCATGGAGACGATTTATCCCTCAGGTGGATGATATTAGGCGTAGTTTATGCACACTCGGCTAGATGGTCGTTTAATTGTGAATACTTCATAAATTGAAGTATGCGCTGAAGACATGTTACTGACAGCTTCTCAATTACAGACCATCCAGCTCACAGAACAAAACTATACTAATCAATGTATTCATTCATTAATTGAACAGTTAGAAAGATATACAATTGGTGGATGATGGCTAGCAGTGGAATCCAGGATGCGCATTTCGTCCTATTTGAGACTCGTCAGCTGGATGTACGTGCATTTCTCAGTGAGTGATGATGTTCCCACTGGGTTCGAGCCTCAGTGGGAACATCATCACTCACTGAGAAATGCACGTACATCCAGCTGACGAGTCCCAAATAGGACGAAATGCGCATCCTGGATTCCACTGCTAATCACCATCCACCAATTGTATACTAATTAAATTCCCAGACATCGTCGAGGCATCTGCACAAGAAGCCGACATGTCAACCTGAGACCGAGCACTTCGGTACAATCAATCGACGGGAAAATCAAAAATTCAATTCAATAGTTAGAAAGATACTTGAAAAAACTTAAATCACAGTGTACGTCGACAAACATAAAAGACAGTAGAGATTTGTTGAGATTTTTCACAAATGAAAAATTCTACGAAACTTCAACAAGGCGTTCAGATACATTCGAATAGATGGTATGGAAGGTGGACGGGGGTCGAGTAGTATCATGCGTACCCACCCAAAAAGCTTTTACGCTGTTCAAGCGAACTGCTCACAGATTTTCGGTCTAACATAGAAACCTGGCTCAATACTGGACTTTATTTACAGTGAGTCGGAGACATCTGCATCCAGATTGCAGCATTTCTAATCAACTAACTGAGAGATATTTAAACTACCAAACGCTCTGACAATGTTCTCATGACTCTGTGCTGATAGTTACGACACGGAAGATGGGATAAAAAGTAACCAACTGTCTTATGCATGCGGTTCATTGGGAGTTAAAGGCTATTTGTACGAATCCCTTCGTGAAAATACTCACTATGTGTGAAATAAGATTTCGAGGAACTCTAAAATAAATGAATGTACATTGAATAATTTTGAGGTTCTACAGTGACAGCCAACATCACTTCTTGATGACATAACATAAAATATGGTGAATGCCATCAAGATTCATAATATGGTTTGGTCCGGCTTTCTATAGCCACACGAATTGTTAGTCAGCTTAACACTTCTCCAACAACACTCAGTATAAATGAGAGAAATCTGAAAGAAGCAAACTCCTTTACCTACCTACCGACATGCGAAGCATCGTTTCAACCACAGACGGACGGAACTGATGAGGATATCAAAGTGAGAGGATAGGAAAAGCAAGACAAGCCTTCAATACTCTCAATTCTGTGTGGGGATCAACAGCACACTCAGAAAGAAATATAAGATATGGATTCTCAACTCCAATGTGAAATCAATGCCACTATACGGATCAAAGACTTGGCACGTCACCAAGGGCACTTCGGACAAACTACATACATTCATCAACAGCCAGCTGTCTTCGCTCAATACCACCTCAAGATCAGATGGCTGGCCAGAAAAAATCAGCAACATGGGGTCTCTGGCAATGAACGAACCAACCCAGCACCAACCACTTGTGCAAAAAATATGCAGGAAGAAATGGAGGTGGATTGGTGGCTATATTCTGAGAAAACAAACTATCAAGTAAGTGACATCACACGCCAGGTCATCGGTCGAGTGGAAGGCGAACGGGAAACGGCGAGTCAACTGGTCATCATTGCGAGGGTGACATGGAAGAGGTCAGCTTTGAAATATCCATTGTCAGAAGAACACTTAGTCTACATAGAGAGAAAAAATGTGTGAAAAAGGAAGGAGGGAAGAAGAATATTAAGATCTCCTTTGAGTAGAGACAGACAGATGTAGAAATAGAAATTATTGATCGTAAAAGAAAATAAAAGACTTTCAAGTGCTGGTTTCCAGACATCACCAACTAACATTCATACTAGTCTCTGAGGTCTCTCCGGCATTATGCACCTGTGACCTCACACCAGAGATCAAACCCAAGGCAAGTTCGATGACCATTCACTCAACAACTGGGAGGGAATTCAATGGCCCACGAATTCTACACGGATACACAGCGCCACCACCAACCAACACTCTCTAGTAACTGGCTACAGAATGTGGATGCTCAAAGTTCTAGTCAGAAGTCGTGACCCATGGGATCCATCAAGTCGAGTGTGAAGACAAATACTCGCCGATGACAGAGGTGTAAATTCAAGGGCCATTATATTACAATTCCAGTGACTGAATGACAGTCGGGCTTATCTCACAACTTTGAGTTCGGTCCCCAGTGAGATCACAGCTCCACACATTGATAAAAAGCACAACTGGGACGAAACATATGTCAAATGTTCCCTCAAGTTCTCAATAAGTCTCTAACCTACTGATACGAATACTTGGTCTAACTTGATACGAACGATTGCGAATTTCAGAGAATAGTAAAATAGCTTGCATCAACGAAATGAATGGCTTCTACCAAGGTTGTGTATATTTCTGTATTCTTGTGTCTAGACGAAACCTGATAGCTTGTTTTGACTTCCTAACAATCGACATCTGCCGATAGCTGACTATTGTTCAAAGCAAAAGTAATATTAACTGCTAAACTGATTTTCGTCCGAGTTCGGGACTCTTCATCCGTATGTACCCACAGAGCTCGAACCAACAGTTTCTTGTTACAAAGCGAGCTCGTAGTCTGTTAAGCCACTGGGACCCGACACAATGACCGACTGTCCAGTACTCCCTGCAGATATTTCAATAGTTCTCTAACTGATGTCAGCTCATGTTGAAATCACACAACCAATCAAACAAAATCCTTTATTATTATTATTTATTATTGTATCCTTTAGTTCCTAGAGGAACATAGGGCTTCAGCTGCGCACCTCCATTGACTTCGGTTTTCTGACAACTTTTTCAACCTGCCCCAGGTCTGTCCACATGCTTTCATCTCCTCCTCGCATGACCTCCTCCAAGTCACCCTTGGACGACCAACTCGCCGCCTCCCTTTCGGGTTCCACTCGAGGGCTTTTCTAGTGATGTCACTTGATGGTTTCCTCAGCGTATGGCCAATCCATCTCCATTTCTTTCTGCCTATTTGTTTCACAATCGGTTCCTGATTGGTTCGCTCCCAGAGATCCCTGTTGCTGATCTTTTCTGGCCATCTGATCTTGAGTATTGAGCGGAGACAGTTGTTAATGAAGGTTTGAAGTTTGTTTGAGATGCTCTTTATGACTCGCCAAGTCTCTGATCCGTATAGTAGCACTGACTTCTATACGGATCAGAGACTTGGCGAGTCATAAAGAGCATCTCAAACAAACTTCAAACATTCATTAACAACCTTCATTAACCTTCATAAACAAAATCCTTACAAAACCAATACTTCAAAATTGATCTGATGCTCACTAGCGACTGGCCCTATTCAGGCAGTTCCCTGGGGTTCTATGTGGAAGCCGTGTCCAGTAGGGTACAGCAGGTCGAAGGTGAGGTAGTAACTCATCGAAGAAGACATTGCGAAGTAGCCGCTCTATGTCGTACGAGAATTGGTAGGTTAGAAATGGCTGAATAATTGGCCTACGAGCTCGCTAGCCTTGTAACCAGAGGGTCCTCGGTTCGAAAGTTAGTGGAGTGGGTGTATACTGTTGAGGAGTCCCGAACAAAACTGATGAAACAGTTGGCTGTCCAGTACTCTATGCAGGCTTTCCAATGGTTCTCTAACTGATGCCACATCAAGATAAAATCATCCAACCAATCAAACAAAATTCCCTAAACAACCTATCCTTGAAAAACTAATTTTCAACAACATTTGAAGACCAATTAAAAACATGATTTACTCCTTGCTTTCCAACTATCAGTCATACAATTCTCGCACTAACCAGCACAAAATCTACCTACAATTATACATGTACGAAATAATAAATTACAACAACGAGGATAAAAGTGTCAATGATATTGCCTAAATTTAAAAAGAGGAAAAAGTCGGTTGCTTGAATTTATGACAAAATTTGATATATGTTTGTTTGTTTTTACCTGAGTTTCTCTCTTACTACTTATTAAACGTAGCCAGGTTGGTAGTTCAGTGATACAATTCTCGCTAATTCCATATTAGTTTGATTATTAAATGTATCACACAGTGA